TTCCCTGAGCTACAAAGATAGGACTGCCCTGCACACTGTTTTGGAATCCTGGGCCATTTAGGATGTCTGAGAAAATGTACTTGCTAGGTCTTTGTAGAAGTTCTCTGGGTAAAGACATATGAGGATACAGTGTTGCTTTTGGCTGACCAAAATGGCATTCACTAGGTCTTCCTTTTTCCCTTTAGTAGCAGAAAATTATTTTTCTTGCTCCGTGCCTTCTCTCTCATCTAAGAGTCTCTTGGACACTGAGGTCTACAAATAGGAAACATGTTTTGTGCCCCCACCCATGCCAGCTTAACTTTTGTCTTTGAATGGAATCAGGAAATCCTTTTTGAATACTAAAAATATACAAAACTTGTGTCCATCAACAGTTATTCATTGTAACAAGAAAGGGTTTAATAAACATTGCTGAATTCTAATTATATGCTAGGCACTATGTTAAATGGTGAAGTGATTATAAGAGTGTTATTCACAATGAATTATGGCTAAAGAAATAAGAGATCACAACACACACACACACACACACACACACACACACACACACAAATTCATAATTACCAGGTCATTCATAATTCTGCCCAGTCACCAGTATCTTTTAATTTCTACACATGCATTCTTTTGGTTGGATAGTAGAAGATTAACTAACAGCACCCTTGTAGTGTGTCTGTTTTTCTCTCCATCTCCATTTCTCTCCATACCAGAAGCCTCTGAACATGTATGACTGCCTGTTAAAACTTAAGAGCAACAGGAACTAGTGTACAGCTATTCTGAAGTTCAGCTGTATATTAGGGAAATGCATGTGAGTTACTGCCATTTCACATTTTCTACATTCCCAGATGACTAACAGTGCAAACTGTAGGGGGCAGAGATAGTTGGTCTTATCAATGAGACAATTCCATGAGAACTTTAAAAATACTGAGTTTTCAGTATGGCTTTTCACAGAGAAAAGTTTAACAGAGTGCTGCTATGTGTTTTATAATACACTACCATGGATTGCTTAGACAGAGAGCCTTATGACAAGGTCAGATAATCTGCTTTTAGTTTTTATCTGACAGCCCTTTGGAACAAAGTATACACAAATGAGCCCTGTATGCTTTTCTTCCCATGTAGCTCTTTTTTGCAAGAGAATCTTTGAAAGGAAAGGATACAGTTTAGGTTGAAACAGACAGTTTATAAAAAAAGGCTCAGGGTAGATCTTCAGTGTCTCATCTGTTGTTAATTAATGAAATCAGTGGAGTCACTAGAATACAGTGAATGAAAGGTCAGTGAATGGAACATGCTGTCTGTGAAGCAGAGTGAACATTGTCAGATACAGACCAGGATACAGACTCTTTGGCTGATATAGTATTTTCTGGAAGTGCATGGCTTGGGACATTTTGAACCAGACTGAGCACTAAATATTCCAATTTCATTGAAAATATTAAATATTCCAAAGTTTGGCCATTAGTATTTGTACTAAGTATTAGTTGAAAATAGCCAGACAAAAGTATGTTTTGTTGAGCAGCAAAGTCTTACTATGTAGCCTTCCTTGGTTGTCCTGGACTTGCTATGGAGACCCAGCTGGCCTGGAACTCAGAGATCTGCCTGCTTCTGGTTGGGATTGAAGGCAGTCGCCACCTCGCCTTCCTCCTCTGGTTTTATATGTGTATGCATTTTCTGGTTTTATAAAGCATTTCATCATGTATTGTTGATTTGGCATTTTTGTTTTGGGGTTGAACAGTAGTTTCTGTCAATTATTTTTATTCCCTGCCATAAAATTTCCTAGAGCCATCCTTTTGAGGTACAGTGAAGTTACAGTGACTTAGGATCCCAGTACTAATTTATGTTACAGCTGGGCCTTGAACAGCCAGGCTGACTTAATGATATTGTTTCCCTCTATAAGCTGTTTTTGGAAGATGCAGAAATGTGTCTCCCTGAAAGATATTCCATGCAAGCCAAGACAAAGCTTTAGCTTCACTGTCAGCTTGTACATACCTGATCACAAACAAACCGTGATATATTGATATTTTTTAGCTGTGAACTTTATCATGGATATCATGTTGTGCATGACTATCCTCTAAGCCATATTGCCACTATCTTCAGACATTTATCAGCCCAGCTTGTCAAAGATCATCTTAGCTGGGCTTCTTGATGGTCGGCATTCCCTTGTAGAGCAGGGTCTGGACCCTCATCTGAGTATTCCACTACCCCTCACAACCACTTGTATGCAATTCTGCCTTAATTGCTTGTGGCTTCTGGGTCTCTGGTAAGGGCTAGAGTGTATAGTTGGAGGACAAAGGGCTATGTGGGAGGAGTTAAACATCATACAAACCTTCCAGTGTGGCTGCTTTAGGGTCGCCCATGCTCCTGCCTATGACCCCTCACCCACTTCTCTGTAAGAAAGCCTAATAATAGACAGGGAAGAGATTTGTAGCAGCAGTTGTATAAGTCTCTTATCTCTGGTCATATTAGATACCCTTCTCTTACTGAAATACATACACACACCCACACCCCTACCTTCTCTTTGGGGAAGGCAAGACTTTTTCATCAGTTTGGAGAAGAGCTATATCCATTGTTGGACTGGTACTGAGAACTAGCAAATCACAGTCATAAGGCTTGGGACACCATAGTAAGGCTGTATCTGCATACAAGGGGAAGTTAGAGGACTTAAGAAGTAGACTCACACCATACATAGCTCTGCTAATTATTGCAGAATGTAATTCTGGGCCTGTGTTCTTATATGCAAATAGGAATAATAATGACTTTTATTTCATAGCATATTGTAAAGATTGAAGTACATGTAGAGCTAGGAGTGGTAATACTGCTTGTTGTAGTTTTTGTTTAGTATATTCTGTTACTATTTTTCAGTATGATTATTTACAAATTTAAAATGTGATTCAATAGTTTTTTGGTTTGCTTTTGGTATTCTCCTCTGAGAATATTTTACTGGAGGGTGGTTTTGTTATAATGACAGACTTTCTATAGACGGTATTGGAGCCAAAGACTTAGGCCAAAACAATTCTTAAGTTAAATAACATATAGCTGTTAAAATTTTATCATACAATTAATTTTAATCAAAATAGTGCCTGTCATTGGTATAAACTGAGCAAAGAAAAGTGAGAACCTTTGCTATGTTGCTGTAAGACCCACTTACAGGGGCCACACCCTGAAATACAATTATACATAAACAGTGGACATCTTGTGCCTGCCTCAGAGATCTGCAGTTACAGTTGTAGGAGTGGGGAAGTCTAGCTGATGGCAGCCCCGTAGCTCCAGCCTAGCATTTACTTGTATAATGCCACTATCAATTAAAGAATTTAGAGGGTTTTCCGTGGTTAGATCAGTTTGACAAAGCTCATTTGGCTTAAGTGAATCAAACTCATTTTCTTTGGAGATGACATTTTTGGAGTCCTTAATATGTTACTAAGAGCTGTGGCTCTCTGGGGGAGATAGGTATGTGCTGGGTTTCTCTTATGTTTTGGACAGATCCCTCCCCAGCTTCGTTCATGATGCCAGTGCTCTAGCACAGCCTTGGGGGTGTAACCACACATTCCAAGGCTTAGGCACTCTGCTTTTCCATTTTGTGTCTTAGAAGGATCCTAAGGAGGGGCTAGGGTGGAGGCTGACTGCTGTCATGGCATAACAGAAGAATCATCACTGGTACCTGCGGGAGTGCTTGCTTCGTGCGCACACAGTACTGCAGGTGTGTTAAGTAACCTTTTTAGCATTGATCTACAGATGAGGAAACTAGGAGCTGGGGGTTCAGTAACTTTACCACATCAGGCGTCTAGAATGTGCTGGGCCAGGAGTGAATTTGAATACAGGAGCTTGTATTCTTGTTTTCCCTACTGTGTGATCACTGGGCTCTTATGTGTATATGTATGGTGCAGAGCAGAATGGTGGCATTTCTGAAGTGTGAAACGATTTTACCTGGCTGGAAGTCATGTTTGGAAATGGTGAAAAATAAAACCAATACAGGTGTAGATTGAGGGCCTTGTCCATTGTACAAAGTAATTTGGATTTCTGCAGTGGATCTGATTCACCTGCTCTGTCCACCAGTTTAGTTTAAGACATTTTAATTCCTCATGTTTAATAATAGTTCTAAAATTATAGATGCTTAGACTCGAGGTAAGAATGTTGTCTTATATTTTGCTGTGGCTCAATAGTTGTTGCAAATTCCTGCTGCTGTGGCTCACTACTCCTGGACCCTGAACTGAACATAGACAGTAGGAACAGGGGTCCAGTTGGATTATACTTGAGTTGACAAGTATTTTTCGTAATTCTAATCTTCAAGGTTCCTGAGTTGATCTACTAAGAGGTAACAGTTTGGTTCGTGTGTTTTCATTTGGATAGAAAGGACTATTTATTTAAATTGGAAACTCCTGTGAAGACCCTGTTTCTCCCTCTCCTTGCTTTCCTTCTCTTCCTGGTTTCTCCTATTTATACTCTCTGCCTGCCAGCCCCGCCTATCCTTGCTACTGTCTTGCTATTGGCCATTCAGGTCTTTATTGGGACCACCAGGTGTTTTAGACAGGCAAAAAGAATCACAGCTTCACATAGTTAAACAAATGCAGCATAAACAAAAGTCACACACCTTAAAATAATATTCTACCAAAAGAGTAACATTCAGTTCATCACTTTTTAAATTACCCATTTGTTTGCTATTGTGAATAATTATTTTTGACTTCTTTGCTATTGGCTTAAAGTCCTCTTTAATGTCCTATAAATAACATTTTTATGGAAAGAGGAAAGGGGATCACATGTCATGCAGTGTATGAGCATTAAGAGACTGAGAAAGGCAGTGCCCTTCCATACTACGGCCTTACAAGTCAGAGTCAGTACTGGAGTCTACGTCAGTTTTAGCAACAGTAACTGTGGGAAGGAATGTGCACATAGGCAGTGTTACCTGCTTGGATCTGTACCGTCTGATTTTTCTGTTAAACAGTTTTAGTCAAGTGGTTCCCAGAAGGCTGGTTTGTTTTACACTGTACATGGCGTAATCATACAATGTTTATTCTCAGGTGGGTTTGCTGAGTTCTCTCGTTGTTTCCCTGGCCTCTGTGAAGGAAAATCCACTCTAGTCCCTACCTGCATGTCTCAGCCTTGCTTACCTGTTGCCAACATTGGGCCAACTCGAATTCTTCCCAATCTCTATCTTGGCTGCCAGCGAGATGTCCTCAACAAGGTGGGTGCTTCAAACGCCTTTCTTTTTGTATCTGTTGGTAGCAGCTGGAGAAGATGAAATGGAGCATTCTGTGATCCCAGAAAGGTGGAACACTGTTAGTGTGACTCCCTACTAAGTGATAATGCTAATTAAGTGCTAGTGTGACTCCCTACTAAGTGATAATGCTAATTAAGTGTTGCATTATCTCTCCAGTAGTACTTTGGTGGTGTTATTTATTGCCATGAGACACTCAAATTGATGTTTTCCTCATAGTTTTAGGAAACTTGAAATAAAATTGTTTTTTTTTTTGTTTTTTTTGTTTTTTTTTTGTTTTTATACCATTAGCCTTGGCTTTATGGGCTACTAATTATTCTATTACTGTAATAGGGTGTCCTGCACTTACAATGCATTGATTTTTTTTTTTTTTTTTTCAGCACGCTAGTAAGGGGTTCAGGTCAGGCCTGGATTGAGGAAGGTCCTCATGATAACAGCTGGGAGGAGAATGGGAGAGATGATCAAAAATGTCAAGGACAGAGACTCAGATGTGTGCTCTGTCATTTGGTTCCACTGTGTTTGAAGCTGGCTGGAATAGTCTGTGGAGAGAAGAACATTCCTAAAAAGCTGTGGACAGCACTGAACAGACATGTCCTGTTACAGAAACACATAATGGAGGGGGGCTTTTGTGTATAATGGCACAAGCATAAAAATATCAGAATTTTAATCTGATTCTACAGCTTACATGTTCTCAAGTAGGAATGCTAAAAAATGAAAGTGCTCTTCCTGTTTAGAAAAGTGATTTTTCCCCCTAAAATTTCTTAATTTATGGTGTTACTAATTGCAAAAGCAACTGGCAATCTTAATTCAACTCTTGGTGATTTAGAAATGCTACTTTATGAAAGCAGCGATTTCCCTTAGCATTTTCTCCTTGAATGATTTTTGGAAACAATTGGGCTGCTTGGAGCCTACACAGTGCTCTTCTTAGCATCTAGGAAAGAGTTTGTTTAGGAATAGATATACTGTCTTTGGGCATTTTTACTATTTTTCCATCAAAACCCTTCCTTCCATAAGATTTAATTTTACAGTGTGCTATTAATATGCTTGTTCATCTGTGAGAGCTGCCCACTTGATATTTATAGCTTATGTATGAACGGAACCTTACTGGTGGGGTCACAGCTCCTTTGAACATGTGACTACTATTAATCCAGCCTACAGATAAGTAAACTATTTTACAGAGAACAAAATTAACTTTCCAAAGTCACATGCATTCCTGTGGCAAAGGTAGAGATAGATGTTTGGCTTATTTAATTCAGGTAAAAATAAAACTAAATTACTAGTTAAGGTTTCTGTTTATTCTTGGTAAACCTTATCCAGTCAGTTCGTACACATAGTTGCTACACATTATTGGTTTTTTGCTTTGTTTTGTTTTTTGACAATGACACATTAATTTTACTCTGTTCCCTTTTCAACTTAACAACTGGGTAATGTTGTGTGAGGGCAGTCAAACCAGAACCTTGATTCAGAATAGGGAAATGTGGACCTTTCTGGTTTCATTCGCTGCCTTGCAGTAAATAGAGTATGTAGATTCTTTGTGGGTAGAGAATGGACTTAGAAGTTCCTGGGACTATAGGTTCAGTGAGCAAAGAACCTTTGAGCTGAAGAGTTTAGACATTTCGTTAGCCACTTTGGTTTTGCTGTGAGAAAGTTGTTATTCCAAAAGTGTCAAATGAACTCATAACTTGACCCAGTTTTGTTTTTAATTGATTATTTTTAAGTTTTATTTTTCTTAGATAAGGCCCATAAGTCCAAGCTAGTCTTGAGCTTATTTGCCTGCGGGTTACTTTGAACTTCTGATCCTCTTGCCACTACCTTTGGAAGGCTGGGATAACAGATACATGGCACAGATTTACTCTTTCACAAGCATCATTGTCTTAGGGTTTCTATTGCTGTGAAAAGACATTGTGACCACGACAGCTCTTATAAAGGAAAACATTTAATTGGGTGGTTTATAGTTCAGAGGTTCAGTCCGTTATCATCATGCTGGCTTACAGGCAGACAGAGTGCTGTAGAAGGTAGCTGAGAGTTCTACATCTTACATACAGGCAATAGGAAGAGGGACTGTCTCACTAGATGTGAGCATATAAGAGACCTCAAAGTCTGCCTCTACAGTGACACACTTCCTCTAACAAAGCCACCTAATCCAAGAAGACATCTCCTGATAGTGCCATTCCCTTTGGTGGCCACTTTCTTTCAAATCACCAGTCATTAACTAAATGATCTTAATGTTCAACCTCCTGACTTAACATTGCAAGAACAATAATATATGCCTATTTTTTCTTCAAGATATATGAAGGTAAAATTTTAATAATCTTCCATAATAATAATATGTTCCTTTTTATTAAAATTTAGGAGTTAAAGTAATCAAAAAAAGATCACAAGGCTGTTGTCTTAGGGTTACTGTTGCTATGATGAAACACCATGACAAACAAAGTTGGGGAGGAAAGGGTTTATTTGGCTTATACTTGCATATTGCTATTCATCAGCAGAGGAAGTCAGGATGGGAACTCACACAGGGCTGGTACCTGGAAGCAGGAGCTTATGCAGGGGCTATGGAATGGTGCTGTTCACTAGCTTGCTCAGCCTGCTTTCTTATAGAACCTAGAACCACCAGCCCAAGGATGACAACACCCACAATAAGCTGGGCCCTCCACGTCAATCACTAATTAAGAAAATGCCCTTCAGGTTTGCATTTAGCCTGGATCTTACAAAGGCATTTTCTTAATTGAGATTCCTTCTTTTCAGATAACTTTAGCTTGTGCCAAATTGACTTAAAACTGCCCAGCACATGTATAATGTTATTAATATTAAAATCATGAAGTGATAGAGCCCACATGGTAGGAATAGAAAACTGGCTCCTACAAGTTGTCTTCTGGCCTACACATGCACTTTATGGCATGCAAACATACACACTAAATAAATAATAAACAGATGTTACATATATCCATATATGTGTGTAATATATACATATATACATATGTGTGTGTGTGTATATATATATATATATATATATATATATATATACATGTCATATGTGTATGTGCTAGTCTAGGGCTGGGGAGATAGCTTAATCAGTAAAATGTTTGCAGCACATATATGAAGATTTTAATTCCATCCCCACCACCAGTGGAACAAAACTGGGAGTACTGGTGTGTGTTTGTAATCTCAGCATGGAGGAGGTGTAGACAATTAGATCTCTGGGGTCCACTGGGCAACCAGCCTAGTCTTGTCAGCAAGCCCCCAGGAGCTGATGAGAGACCCTACCTAAAAAATGAATAGACAAACGTGGATTGCTATTGAGGAGTAATATTTGAGGTTAGCCTCTGTCTGGCTTCTACTTGGATGCATGCCTGTGAGAGAGAGAGAGAGAGAGAGAGAGTGTGTGTGTGTGTGTGTGTACCTGACTGTATATCACTTGCATGTAGATACCTGCACGCGTGCACACACACTCACACACTCATATGCATAATAAAATGCTACCAAAGTATGTTAAAAGCACAGATAGTTTCTTAGGAGGCTCATCAGTAATATCACGAAAGGGATGTAATGCAGTGCTATGTTGTTGAACACAGGATGGCCCCAGATTTCAGTTACAAACTATAATTAGCTTAACATGCTTGGTTCTCTGGTCTTTACGAGTTGAAATGAGAACAGTTGATTCTGCTGAAGTAAAGCATTTGTTGATGCCCATTTCTTACCTGGAATGAGAGAAGTTGGAGAATCTAGTTATTTGAATGATGAGATTTTTTTTTCTCTTATAATGCTGGAGCTTTGTATGTGCTAGGCAGATGTTCTACCACTTAGCTGTATTTCCTTCCATCCCTCAAGTTTCTTGATTAGTTTTCTCCCTTATCCCTTGAAAGTTAGAGGCGTTTTTAAATGTTATACTTAAATGTTCCAAATGTACACATAAAATTACGTATTGTGAGTAGCCTGAAATTGTTGTGTGTCTGGAGTGAACCTGGTAAGCCGTCACCAAACTCCTTTTTTTCCCCTGGGGGGTGGGGGAGCTCTGAAACAGGATTTCTCTGTGTAACAGCTCTGGCTGTCCTGGAACTCCCAGAGATCCATCTCTGTGCCTTCTGAGTGCTGAGGTTAAAGGTGTGCACCACCACCACCTAGCTTGGTTTATGTGTTTTTTTATTGTGATCTTTTAACATACAACATTGATTTTTCCCACACTGTCTTATGATGCTTCTGGTAGGGCTAGTGTTGATGTATTTATTTTATACAGGTAATAATTGCCTGTATACAGCTTTGTCAGGTGCTGATGGGTTTCTCAGAGAAGTATATGATGTTGGAAGATAAGAAGATAACCAAAATTATCATTAAAAATATTGTAGGTACTGTGTGTGTAACACCATACACTTGCACATTGGTTGTTTGGGAGAAGAAAGACTTGTTCGTTAAACAATTTCACAGGACGAGATGACTCAGCGTAACTCCCCAGACTAAAGCAGCACTGCGTGGTGGCTGAGAGACCGCTGTGGGTAGAGACAGTGCTGCATGCCAATTCTCCACCTACCACTACCATTTTAACCAATTTACTAAATCTTGGGTTCTTTTCCTAAAAACTGATCATTTTTGACTCTTAGTACTCATAAAATGGCCTGTGCCATCTTGTGGGGTGGAAGCATGCATTACAGTCATGTGGGATAGCACGTGTAAGTGTGTGGTAGATCAGTGGTCTTTGGCATTTGAGAAAGCTGGCTGGGGGAGGTCGAACTTGAGGTCGATGTTGAGTACAAATAGAGTGGCAAATACAAAGTGGCATGGAATTGACTTCAGAAAAAAAAATTAAAGTGACGTTATCCAGAAGTCTGAGGTTAGCCCATATAATTCAGTGGGATCTTCTGTTCTCAGACTAGCTAAACAAAATGAATTTGTATGTGTGTGTTTTTCTTTTTAAATCAGTATTCCCTAAGACTCCACAATCTTATGAACAGATTATAGAATCTGTAAAAATC